CAACTTAGATTGATTCTTGGTATGCTCTAGATAATGAAGAATGATGAGCTTCCTAGTGATAATAGAAAACCTAGGTTGATTAGATCTTATTATTAGGTATCTGATTTTGAGTTTGATGAGAACTCCTTCTTTGTGCTAATATTAATCATGTATGTGACTTAAATCTTTGTTTGGATGTCATTTTCTTGTGGTTGTTGTGTAAAGTAAACAAATGAATAATTTTAAGTTATTCATCAAAGAAACCAGAGACATCGAACCAAGGGAGGACATGGAATGGCAAAGATGAGGATGAGAGAGCTTTTGGTTCAACTGACTCTTTCTTTTCTTTGCTTTTTTTTTTTTAAAAAAAAATTATGTCAGCATTGTACCCCATTAAATTATAGGCGGTAGGACTTTCGCTTATAAGATTTAAGTTGGCACTGCTAACAGATAAAAAATGTCTAATATGGCGCTAAATGGACATGTATGACAGAAGCTAAAGGTACACATGTGGCATGTGACTCTTCAATGTTAAAATTGCCTTATTATCTTAAACTCAAAAAATAGGAGGGTAAAAACTGATAAGTTGTAAGATGAAAGGTAAAGTCTCTCAATGTCGAAAAGTTGAAGGGCAAAGAGTGGGTTTTTGCCTTGTATATTTCTTTTGAATCATATTTTTGAACATTTGAACTGTTTTATTAGCATAACTTAAAATATTACTAAGCAAAACTTGGAAAATATTAAAAAGTTTTGCTTTTCATCATTGATCATATTTTTTGTGTAGGTTATGTCTGGAATGCTACTAGCATTAGCATTTCATTTTAATTATTGAAAAAGGAGGGAACCAGTAAATCTTATAGATTTACTTACCTCAAAAGGACATAAATAAATATGGTGTGTCTTTACTAGGTATGTTATTGGATTAGCCTTTGCAATAGCCATAGATGCCTTGACCACCTCTTCTCAACATGCACTTATTTATCTAGTATATTAGTTGTTATTGTTGTTCAAGGTTGGTAATTTATTATTGATTGTTTGCCAAGTTCCATTCTCCTTTTTGCTTGTGTAGTTGAGAGCTAAGAAAACCA